TCATCTCTACAATAAATAAAAAATTAGCCGGGCGTGGTAGCACGCACCTGTAGTTCCAGCTACTTTGAAGGCTGAGGCGGAAGCATCGCCGGAGCCCCCAGCAGGTCAAGGCTGCAGTGGCCGGAAGCGGCCACTGCACTCCAGTCTGGGCAACGGAGTGAGACTCCAACTCAAAAAAAAAAAGATCAACCTAGATAACAACACCTTGTCTCTTCAAAAAGTTAGCTAGGTGTAGTGGCACACATCAGTAGTCCCTACTTGGGACTACTTGGGAGGCTGGTGGGAAGGAAGGATCACCTGAGCCTAGGAAGTTGAGGCAGCAGTGAACTGATTGTGCCACTGCACTCCAACCTGGGCAACAGATTGAGACCCTATCTCAAGAAAAAAAAAGTGCCTTAAACCACAGAATCATCCCAGTCTAAAGCACTTCTGTAGCGGTAACGTGATTTTGGATAAAATATGTCATTTACCTATTTTCAGCAATTAGAACAAACTCCTCCTCCATCCCCAGGTACAACTCAGGAGTAACTTAAGCAATCTTTCCTTTGAATGAGGTAGAGCAGTGACATACATCTGGCAAATAAGACTCCTTGTCCTGCCAGTCTTATGTCCCTATTCTTACTTGATTGGTAGATATGGGTCAGAGGAACCAGCCCGGCAGTATTAATGGGTAAATTGTAGGCAAGTCCAAGGTTGAATGAAATGGTATCTGCCCTGCTTCCTGGCCCCCATGTAGTCATGAGCTTATCACTATAGTGGTAGTAAGATCATTGACCCCTGCCAAACTATTTTTGCCCATTCCTTGAGCCAGGTAAGAGTTTGACTCTGTATCATCACTTCTCTTATTCCCCATTTGAGCCAGAGATTCCAGTAAGCAGAAACTCTTTAAAACAGATGGATAATCATAAGCAGCTTCTGGAGAGCCTTGAGAATTGGAATTTTGACACACTCCCTCTGACCGTGACAGAAAGCTGAACTTGCCAGCTAAAGGGAAGCTCCTGGCTGGGCCCCAGCACCCTCTGTTGGAGCTTCTGGTCAGCCTGGCCAATAAGCATTTCCCATCCATCGTTCCAGCACTAGCACAGCTGAGAGAATTTGGTCCAGAGTCAAATACTTCTGAAAATGTACACACAGATCGGGGCAGCCCTCTGCCTTCTGCCAAGACACTGAGTGCCCTTCTTGGCAAAAGATGATCACCCCTGCCCTAGTGTCCCTCCAGTTGGCAGGAACTATTCTCTCTCTCCTAGCCAACAGTTGCAAATCCAGGGACTTCCACTCTGCATGCAGAGGAAAAAAGTAATTGGGGTCCTGTTTCAGCTCTTTATTGCTGAGGTAAGAGCACTGAGTTCTTTGCTCTCAGATTCTCTTCTTTGCCTCCTTTTCGGGAACAAATGGGGCCTGATAATTCCCCTACTAGAAGAGGTGACTCAGAGCCCACAGGGTAGGTATGATTTCACTGCTCTGGCAATCTCAGCTTAACCACACTAGATCTCATCATGCTCAGAAACCCTGTAACTGAGGAACCCAGCTAGGTGGACACACCAGGTGCGACCTGAAGATGGGACAGTTTTCTAACCTGGGAGGGATCGATCTAGTTGCTGTTCTCTAAGGATCTAAGGAATGGGCTGATTTTATGGCCAGCAGCTGTCCTTTTACCATCCTATTAACAGTCTTTAATAGTCTGGGAGAGGGCCAGGAAGGGCCTAAGGCAGGAAACTTCCTGTTTACCCTGAAGTCTAACAATGCCACAGCTGGGTGGGGCGTCTACAATTTCAGAGAAAAGTCATTTCCTTCGGAGACCCTGCTAAAACAGAAACCAGACACCTCATCTCACATATCTAGGAGTAGATGCTTTTTTGTTCTTTGATGAAGGTGGGAGGAGAGGGAGTGTTTGACTTGTCTTTACTAGTCGCCCTGGAAAAAAAGCCACCTCTTTTCTTGAACAGACTCTCTCACTGTCATCCAAAAATGTAATATGTACAGGGCCGAGGGATTTGAAATTGATTTTATCAGCAATTTTTTTTTTTTGAGTCGGAGTCTCACTCTGTCACCCAGACTGGAGTGCAGTGGCCGCTCCTGACCACCACAGCCTCAACCTGCTGGGGCTCCGGTGATCCTTC